AAAGAAAAAGGTGAGATATTTTAAAAGAAAAAATTAAGATAAAAAATATTCAAGGAGAAATTATGAGACTGGGAAAATGAATATCACTCATAAATTTTAAGGTCAGATATCTTAGGAAATGTTAGAGAGAGAGCCCTTTTATCACCAAAATTTCCTCAGTACTACAGAACTGAAGCACATATGGTCCTCACCTGCAGTTCTGAGGCTGCATCTTTGTCTACCTATACCCCTTCTCAGTCTCTCGCATGCCTCCCAAGAACCTATGGTAAGCCTCTTTCCTCCTTTTCTCCGCATCCAGGTCCCACTTCTGCTCCCAGCATTCTGATTGTGCTCCCAGGACTTTTCTTTTTTCTTTCATGCTCGTCTTCTTTCACTATCTGCAAACTCATCAATACTGCCATTTTGATTGCACTACTTTACCACAGTGTAGATCATCTTCCATCAGTCAGTGCTTGTCTTATACCTCAGTGGACCAATGATAGCTGAACTGTCAAATCAAGCTTTTCATGATCTCTAACGAACTTGAAGGGCATTTAAAAGAAACTGCACCTTAAAGAGATTTGTACCATTCAGAATGTTTGACCCTAGGGCATCCGAATTGATTAATATTTTCCAGAATCGATTTGAACTACCCTTTGTAAATAGTACTTGGTGCTAGGAATACTTTGAAGCTTTCCGAATTTTAAAACTATTCAGAGGTCACAGTATGACAAATAGTGATTTTTAAATAACTAATGTTTATATGTCAATTAGATGGTTTCACTCCCAGCTCTAACTCTGTTGGGCAATTGCATAAATATCGTGTAACTGCAGACAATAAAATGGAAACATCTAACTAAAATCTGAGGGAAAAATCCTCAGTATCCAATATTTTTGCTGCTCAAATTCCTACAAACATCATACTCTACTGAAACAGAGGGGTCTGTTTCTTTTTTCAGACTGTAGAGCAAACTGCAGTCATTTTGAACAGCTCCTCTTAGTCAGCTCTAAAACATATTTTCAAAATATCTCAGATGTTCCATAAACAACAATGTACACTATGCTTGAAACTAAGTGTTCTCTGAAACTGTGCCATGGTAAATGCATTGCCTTACCTTTGGCCTTGGTACTTGTGGGCTCTAAACTTTTAAATACAAAGTCGTTGAAATCCCTGGCTGGCAGAAACAGGAATCTTTTCATGTCAACTCTGATGTAAATATTAGACTCTTGCTAATGCCAATTAGCCTAAACCCTGAATCAGCTATCAAAATTCCACAGCTAGAAAGGGATCAGTCTATGCTTAACATCTCAACATTCATATCCAACTCAAATTATAGATCATATTAAATAAACTTATTATTAGCCCTGCCCATCTAATTAAGAGACACAGAAGAAATCAATAATACATATCTCAACAGTAATGGGATAAGCTTTGTTAATTTCCATGTCTATTTGCCGTTGCTAACTTACTGAAGGATTGACACCTTATCAAAATTCAAAGCAAAATGTCTGCCTGCAAAATACAATTCCTGGAGGACTGGATGACCTAGAGTAGTGTTGCTGGGATATATAATCTTTTGCATCTGGGCCAGCAGTGTTGAGACCAACAGAGACTGAAAGTTGTTGCTACTGGTTGGTTATTGGATGGGCTACATAAAATAAATTGATGGTCTCAGTCCAAGTGTGAGAAAAAAGGTTCATATCATCCAAATTACCACCATAAATGGAATCAATTAGCAAACTTATTGGTAGTTGCAGCAGAGAGGTGAAGGAATAAGTGACTATAGAAAATGGCTTACCATCTCAACTGTCAAATCAGTGAGAGCTCTCCAAGTGAGAGTTGAGACACATTGACAGTGTAAGAAAGCTTGCACTACCACTCTCCATGCTTTAAATGCTCCATGGCTAAATAAAGGATTTAAGTCTCTGGGGATGGCCACCCTGAAACTTTCACAATCACTAAATTCCCATGCAACATTTAAAAAAAATCCGGTTTCCATTTAAATTGTTTGTTTCCATGTTTTATTCATCTTCACAAACATTGCCCACTTGAATAAGAGAACAGACAGAGGACCTGTGTGTTTTACATGCTAAAAGAATATGTCCTAATTTGCCACAAGTTATGAAAAAATAACTAGCATACCTTCAATTGTCTTGCAGGCAACACAAGTAGACATAAAAGTTATGTTACAACAGCCCATCTGTATACATTTGCATGGTCCACAATATTAACAGCAATGAAGTTTCTTTTACAGAATTAATACATACTGTAAATCGCTCCCTCATATTCTACTGAAAATTCTCATTCTCGTCTTCTCTCCTAGTTCCTAATTTTCTGATAATTACATATCCACTCATTCCTTTCCAAATCATCAAATTGCCACTCTGAAGCAGCGAGGACAAAAGCAGAACACATAGACTCAGACTGCTCTGCAGAACTAATCACTTCACATACTATGTCCTCTTGCTTCTGAAAACAAAGGTCCTTTTTTCTTCTTTATTTAATACAAATGCTTTTGCTCTCATTAGATAACAAGAACAGAGGAAAACTTACCCATAAGCCACGTAAATGCTAACTAAAAAGTGTAAACTGACCTGCACTCTCCCAGTCTCTCCTGGTGGAAATCTATTTTCTCACTAAAAAGAATGCTGAAAGGGAGGTTAACAGATATGTCATAACTTGCTCTGCTAAATATATAGAGCTGTTATTTATCACTGCACAGAATCTCCACATACTGAAGGCCTAATTTATAAAACTATGGCTTTTCTGTACTTCCCATTGGCTTTATAAAATATGTATATGTAAACTGGAGAGGCACATTATTTCTCATTTATAGCAAGGTGTAATTTGTAGAGCAAGCGTGAATAAATGATGAGGGGAGAAATTTCAGGCCTTTCCTACAACACCTGAAGGTGTATGTCTCCCACACTGCAAGTTAGCTTATGCAAACATACTTGTGCGTTAATGGAGAACACTGAGAAAACTTGCTAATGCTTTTCGGAATCTATCCCCTGTGTTAAATTTAGGATCATAAATATCTGTGCATACTTATCCCTGTATGCGTTTTTGTTCAAATTAGAGGACTACAGGAGAAAATACATAGATTTCTCATTTCTTGGTCTGATATTTCATCAGAACTATTGCACATTAGCATAACCTACACATCAAAAAACTCTCTCGCACACACAGTGCAACCAGAATGTTTCTGAAAAAAGTTACCTGGATTGAACATGCCAGACAATAGGTGATATAAACTTACTAATCATTAATTTGCATACAAGGGCTAGAACCTACAATTCCCTGTATGCATAATTCAGTGGAGTTTTTGCATGAATGGGATGGCAAGATCAGGACCATAGTATTTATTTATAGTATTTCAGGCTATAACATTGTTTTCTGTTCTAAATCTACACAGCAAGACGGCACAGGACAACTAGTAGGTTGAATTTGAAATAACAACTTAGTGGCAAAAGGTTCTGTAGTACATTAGCAATCTTCTGGTCCATGTAGCCCAACAAGTTTGATTTTAACAAAACTGATAAAATTTTATGGAAATTTAGCTTTTTGTTAAGGGATTATTTTACTGCCCTGTGGCCTCTTTTTATAAATGCTTTTGCTCTCATTGGATAACAAGAACATATATAATTATTGTTTCTATAGAAGTTTGGAGAGGGGCTTACTATCTAATTGCCTCTCAATGATTTCTTGGATCCTTATGTATAGAGTGCAGTCTGGATCTGACATCCATTTGAACTCCACGACGTACGTTTTCTCAAGATGAACAGCTATGCATCAACAAAGAATTATTGAGCTGCCTTTTGTTTGTTAATCCACCCTAAAATTCGGAAATATAAAATTTAGGATGTATTAAAACTGGCACAATATCCTTCAAAATAGTATTACTCTTCTCTAAAATCTTGATCCCAAATAGCATATATCTACCAATTGCTAAAAAGCATGGTAACTCATAAGATTTTCATGTTTTCATCACAGATTTTTCATTGTCAATGTCAGTTTCTACATATATTTAATGTCATTAAATATAATGTATGCATTATTTAAAGAGTAACATGCTTTTTGTTTCTGATATGATAACTATATCTGAGGCTAGGCAAATTCCTAGACCAATGGAGCAAGGAGTTTATTAGTTCAGCATAATCATTACAGCATAAAGAAGGTATAGCAGTAGAATACCATTATTATAATAAAATATGCTCTGCAGGTTCTTCACATTGATCCTAACAAGCTACTGTAAATACCTCTGCTCTAATAAGCTAACAGTTTCTTTCATTTGTTGATGACACTCATGTTTACTCTTAATACTCCCGCTTTACTCCCTCTGCACTGTCACCCATGTAACTTCTGCCATCTTGATTTCTCCTTTATGCCAATAGAATAAGGCAAAGAAAATTCTTCCCAAGAAAATTAATTCGTTTTTTAAAATTGTATGTTATATCTATTGCTGTGGAGTGAGTAGGTGGGAAGAGGCTCCACAGCTGAGGCTACCAATGCGTGTGGTAGGTATGGATACGGTACCCTGCTGAGAAAAGCCAATTATAACTCCACTGATAATGCTACTGAAAATAGCCATTGTGCTTTGATACTTGGAGCTATTATTGGCCAAACAGACCATAGGCATTTCCATATTATTGAGAAATAACTACATAGCTGTCATGCATCTCCGAACTCGTCCCCAAGTCAGAGTACAGGGAATCACATACAAAAGGGAATAGACATACAGATATCAGTTCATAGCTGTCCAGAATGCATGAGCTCTGACTGGCTGATGCTAATCCTTTAAAAACTATGGGTTCCCACACCTCCATCAGGAGTATAATAACTATATCTGTTTCTTAATAACAAGGATAAAAACCTTGTGGGGGCTATTTTAAAATATCAATTTTGAGATGACAAATATGTAGGAAACCTACAGTGCACAGCATGAGTATTAGTGTACATTGATGCTTTGATTACTGAGGAATACAAAGCAGAATACAATTTCTTACATTAAATGACTCACCAGCCATATATTATCATGAATGACTATGCAACTGAAGAGCATGCCCATTATTGGTGCCACTATTTTTCAGAAATTCACATTCACTCTGTCAATGCAGATAGTCTATTTTTCCATTAGCTTCTTGCTCCTTGTGCAGCTGGAGCTTTGATGGCATCTGTGGATATTAGAAACAATCATTTTTACAGGAAATACACATCCTAATGATCTTCAAGACAAATTTTGAAACTGCAAGGTGGCCTCCAAAGTGGGCACACACTTACTCTGCAGAAGCACACCCTGAAAATACAAATCCCCATGCAGATTCTTTAAACTACATGTTCATGGGGATATGGGTAAAAAGTCAAGGCCAAGGCCATATCGTCACTAAAGGGATGATTGATGCTCCATGATCAATCTTCCAGAGTTCAATTTAGTGGGTCTAGTTAAGACTCTAAATCAAACTCAGAGGATGCCTCCTGCTCTGCGAGAAATAAGGAAGCCAATGGGATAATTTGTTCTTATTGTGGAGACAAAGGGAAAATTTGAAACAAGGTACATTGACTCCAGCTATTTAATTAACTACAGCTAGAGTTGCATATCTTGATTCAACTTTTCCTTTTAGTTTAGACCTGACCTGAATTAGAGGGGTCAGGACCTGCATAGACATATAGACCATTCATGCTGACTTCTAGGTTTCATTCCAGAATGCCTATAAATATATTCTATAAATACACTAGAAGGGAGAGAAAGGATGCAGGAAAGTGTAGTCCACTACTTATTAAGGAGAGAGCTAAGGATAGAAGACATCAGGATACCTGATGTGTTTAATGCCTATTTTGTATCAATCTTTAATACAAAATTAATAGTGACCAGATGCTTAACACAATTAATATTAACAAGGGAAAAGGAACATAACACAGACTAGAGAAAGAATGTGTTAAAATATTTACATAAATTAAATGTATTCAGTCAGCAGGACCTGACAGAAATCACCATAAGGTACTTTAAAAACTAGCTGAATCAATCTTGGTACCATTAATGATTATCTAAAAGAGCTCATGAAGGATAGATGAGGTCCCAGAAGACTGAAAGAGAGCAATCATAGTATGTATCTTTAAGAAGGAGAACAAAGAGGACTTGATGAATTATAGGCCAGTCATCCTAACTTTGATATCTTAAAAAAAAACCTGGAACAAATTACAAAACAATTCATTTGTAAGCACCTAGAGGATAACAGAGTGATAAATAACAAGGATGGATTTGTCAAGAGCAAATCATTCCAAACCAATCTAATTTCATTCATGGGGTTACTGTCTTAGTGGTTGGGACTAGTACTAGTTCTGACATATCTTGATTTTAGTAAAGCTGAAGTTCTACATGACTTTCTCAAAAACAAACTAGGGAAATGTGGTCTACATTGTTACTATAAAGTGTGTACAATGGGTTGAAAGATCACATTGATCATTTAAGAATAGTTATTAATGTTTTGTTGTCAAACTGGAAGGATGCATCTATTGATGTTCTACAGGAGTCTGTCATGAGTCCAGTACTATTTAATATTTTCATTACAGGTTTGGATAACGGAGTTGAGAGTATGCTTATAAAATTTGGAAATGGTACGAAAGATGGGAGGTATTGCAAGCACTTTACAGAACAGGGTTAGAATTCAAAACAACTTTGACAAATTGATTAATTGACATAAAATCAGCAAGATAATATTCAATAAAGCACAAAGTATTGCACTTAGAAAAGAAAAAATCAAACACATAATTACAAAATGGGAAAGGACTGGCTAGGCAGCAGTTGGGTAGAAAACTATCTGGTGGATACAGTGGCTCACAGACTGTATATGAGACACTGTAACATGGTGTGACTCACCTGAAGTCTCCTCCTTGTCACTCTGTGAATTAGCTCCACTCAGCGTCAGAGCACCCTTTTCCAGCTGGTGTCTCCCCTGCTATTCCCGGTTTTCTATTAATGGCTCTGCCACCTTTCATTAGAACCCACATCCCTCCCAGATCACATTCTGGGGGCCTTCCCCTCAGGGAACCCCCTATATCCAACTTGCCTCAGTGACCCTACTGCCAGTCATCATCTAGCCCCTTACCTCAGGGGCAAAGTGCAGTCTGACATGGCCACTCATCATAGGCAAAGGGGTGTGGACCTGCTGCCTTTTTGGCTGCCCTAGCTGCCTCTCTTCAGCCCTAATGCCCCTCAGGCCTCTGTTGATGGATCTCAGCCTGGGATTATTCAGGCTGGAGCTCCCCTGGTTCACCTTGCCTTTCCTCAGTAGTGCTCTGTATATAGTTCCTCAGCTAGAAGGCAGCTAGGTCCTTCTCCCTCCAGGGCTGGAGTGAGAATGCGCTCACCCTGGCCAACTCTCTCTTAGGGTGTGCCTACACCGCAGGACTTAACTCAAAATACAATAAAATTGCTTATTTCGAAATTGGGAGCGTCTACACAGCACTTATTTTAAGATAAAGCGCTCTTCATCCAATTTCCCTTACTCCCCATACAATGAGGGTTTCAGGAGTCAGAGTAAGACATCCATAATGTCGCCGTGTAGATGTACCCTTAAAGACAAATGTCATTCTGGAGTGCATTAACAGTTACGTCATGTGGAAGTGACGGAAGGTAATTGTTCCACACAGTTCAGTTGGTAAAGCCTCCATGGGCATATATTATTCAGTTTTGGATGCCACACTTTGAGAAAGATAAAGGCAAGCTGGAGAAAGTTCAAAAGAGAGCAACAAAAATGCTAAAAAGTTAGCAAGCATGTCCTGTGGGGAAAGATTAAAAATAACTGAGCATATGTACTCTTGAGAAAAGAAAACCGATGGTGATCCTGATAACAGTTTTCAAATATATGAAGGGCTGTTATAAAAGGATAGAGATCAATTCTTCTCCAGGACCACTGAAAGTAGGACAAGAAGTAATTGACTAACTCTGCAGCAAAGATGATTTGAGCTAGATATTAGGAAATATTTTCTAACTATAAGGATAGTTCAGAACTGAAATATGTTACCAGGGGAGACTGTAGAATTCATATCACTGGATGTTCGAAACATGTTAGAAAAATACCTCTCTGGGTTGATCTAGGTATTACTTAGCCCTTCCTCAAAGCAGTAAAGGGAGGAGTAGACTACATTACCTCTCAAGGCACCTTCCAGTTCTGCACATTTCTGTGGTGCAATGCTCCTATCTTGACAGTACTATCTGGAGCAGCTTTGCTGTGGGTTTCGTGGGTAAGCAGACTAGAATGCTAAATTCAGTCCTATGCTACTGCAATTTGATAATGGGTTTCCTTATGGCACCTACATATGACATCTAACAAATCATGGACCATCTAGCGCAGGCATGTCCAACGTCCGGCCCGCGGGCCAATTGCAGCCTGTGTTCCGATTTAATACGGCCCCCGCTTCCTCTCCTGGCTCCCCGGCGCTCTTTTGAACTGGCGCGCCCAGCGCGCCGCTTCCGGCCCCCCCGCCACCTGCCGCCGCCGCCGCCCATGGCCTCCGCGGTCCTAGAGCCTGCCCTGTAGGGCACGTCTGCAGCCCCGCTCCCCCGCTCGGCTGCGGGTTCGCCCTGCCCCCGGGCCGCCGTGAGGCCGGCGTGCCCTGCACTCTCCGCCTGCCTCCGACCCTGCGGGCCCTCCGCCTTGGGGCTGAGAGTGCGGGGACGGCCCTCACGCATGTTCACCCGCCGCCCATGGCCTCCGCGGTCCTAGAGCCTGCCCTGTAGGGCACGTCTGCAGCCCCGCTCCCCCGCTCGGCTGCGGGTTCGCCCTGCCCCCGGGCCGCCGTGAGGCCGGCGTGCCCTGCACTCTCCGCCTGCCTCCGACCCTGCGGGCCCTCCGCCTTGGGGCTGAGAGTGCGGGGACGGCCCTCACGCATGTTCACTTCTTCAAATCTGGCCCTCTTTGAAAAAAGTTTGGACACCCCTGATCTAGCGCATATCTTCTGCTTGCAGCAAGATTCTGTAGGTTTCATTATACATGTAGTATGAATTGATACTCCACTATGGATTTAAAATATACAGTTGTAAGTGATCTTTTTTTATAGAATTAACTAAAACTTAAAGAAAAAAAGACAAAGTTAAGAATGCCATCGAAAAGGCTGTATGCTTTGGTCAGTCTTTTATGACACTAAAGTACATTGTTCTGACAAGACATAGATGGTAAAATATCTAGGTGCATTTTCTTATGCAAAATAAAAAATATATAGTTTATACACAAATCTCCACTTAGGATCTATTCAGTAACAAAAACGACTGTGTTTTCATATCATAATTGTATTGCATATAATTCACCCTTGCTGTTTCCTCACCATATGGTGCACTGCTGAAATTTAGCAGATAATAAGCAGTGGATTTGGACTAACTTAAATTGGCTTTCTGCTTGTAGAATGTAATGTACGTCTCATTAGTGCATTCTGGACAAAACTCTGAATTGCAAAAGCTGGGAAACTAGCAGAAGGAAATAGCGAATGAGTATTTAGATAACTATACAAATGAATCATTGCACATCTTGCTCTGTGAAAACTACTTTCTGCATGATCAGCTCTCATTGATGCCAGTGGGAGTGGAAGAAATATAAAATATTGTGCATAAAATGTGTGGGTTACACAAATATTGGCAAAGTGGTAAATAATGAAGACAAAGGCAGATACTACAGAGTGACCAGGATTACTTTTTATGCTGGGCCCTTTAAAACAAAATGCATTTTAATACAGACAAGTACAAGGTCATTTGTCTAGGAACAAAAGCACAAGCCACACCTACTGGATGGAAGTCGTTATAGATGGTAGAGACTCTGAAAAAAGATAGTAGTCAGAACAAACAAGCAATTCAATATGAGGCTCCAGCTCAGTGTTATTGCAAAAAGGGCTAATGAAACCCTTAAATAAAAGCAGAGAGGCGATTTTGTATGTTACTTGCAAGCCTGCCTATGGGGGAGGAGGGGACAGGAGAGGAGAGGGACCAACCAGCCCAAGCAATTCAAAAGGGCCCATGGCTTCCAGCTATAATGGTAGCAGCTGCACCTGTAGCCCCTGCCCTTTAAATCAATGCTGGAGCACTGCCTAGTGCTCCAGCAGTGTGGAGGACTGGGGGAGGGAGGGGAGGAAAGGCGCTGTGGTCCAGGCTGTGCTGAGGGCTGGCTAACCAGCCCCACCCTTT